AACTTGAGGAAATCATTCACAACGAAAAGTCCTTCGACAAATTCGTTGTTGGAAATTTTAACGATGAGCAATAAAACCCTTAATCGGTAATTATAATATATAGCAATAATCAACTGCTACTCTTCGCACTCTACAGCTGACGAAGTAGAGCACGATGCGTTTTACGTCCGATTGAGGAAATCATAAGAAAGGAAAAGTCTTTCCACAAATTCGTTGTTGGAAATTTTAACGCTACACTTGGCGAAGCACAAGAGGAGGAGTTCAGGATTAAGCAGTTCGGAATGGGGGACAGGAACAAGAACGGAAGTCGTCTGACTGGACTCCTGTTCGCGGATCGACTCGTACGTGGAAAATCTTTCTTTCAAAAGAAGAAACATCGCCGCTTGACATGGAATTCTCCGAAAGGTCCAACTCATGCTGAACTGGACCACATATGAACAAAAAGAAAGTGGTGTCTACTAGATGTTGGTATAAGACCATCTTTCTGCAGTGGTTATGAGCATCGGCCCCTTCGCGCGAAAACAGATTCAGTTACGAGCTAGAAAAGATCTCCAGTATCGCGCAAAGAGCTCTAAGCATGTTGTATACGACGGAGATGTTCTCAATGACGCCTCGCCCCGATATGACTGGCAGGTCTTGGATGATCCGACCGAAGACTACGACGAGCTGGTTCGGGGCCACCTCACTTTTGCTGAACAGGACAAGTTTTTTAGAGAGGATGCCTCCTCTCGCATTTCAGATGCGACGAAGGATTTTTCAGGACAGAAGAAACTTGAGGCTTGACCAGAACGCCAAACATGTTGAAAGGCTGCAAGCGAATATCAGCTGCGTACAGGCAGTGCGGCGAGATTTCAGCTATACAGGGAGAGGAGACTGCTGGAAGTAGCCTTTAACAGAACCAGGTTGATAATGCCACCGGGATTTTCAAAACCACAACATTCCACTTTCGTGTTTGAAGGAGGAGGACGGAACACTACGACATCGAGTTTCGAGATGGAGAAAGTTACACGGAGCTTTCACACCAATCTGTATCGATCCACGACACACGTGCGGAAACCAGAAATCCCAATCACGGAACCTCGTATTCTTCCTTCGGAGGTGAGAGTTGCGACTGCGAGCATTAAAGGAGGCACTTTTAGGGCCCGATAAGATCTCAGCAGGTGGCAACGAACTTCATGCCCTTCTCACAACACACATGATATCCTACCTTCAGAAGGAGATCCCCAACCATTGGAGGAACCTGCGAATGGTCATACTTTATAAAGGGAAACCGGGTTGATCTTCGCAACCACCGCCCAATAAGCTTGTTAATAAGTGTGAGCTCTACAAGCTGTTCACTAAGATCATTCTAGCCCGCGTCTCGCGAACGTTGGATAAAACTCCACCTGTAGAGCTGCCAGGTTTCGCAAGAGATTCAGCTGGTTAGACCACATCCAAGCGGTGGCAAGGGCCAGTGTGCCGAGGATTCCAAACGCCCCTTTTCCTTAATTTTGTCGACCATGAAAAAGCTCCTGTCAGCGTCGAAACGAATGCGGTCCTGTCAGCACTGGTCGACCAAGGAGTGGGAGTCCTTACATAAGAACACTAGCTGACTGCAGTAGTCGCTGCTGTGCGACAATGAAGATGTTGCAACGGCCTCTCCCCATTCCCATAGGGAAGGGTGTGAGACAGGGCAGCACTATCTCGCCGAAGGTGTTCACAGCAGTGGGTTATGATGCCGCTAGACTGGAACNGCCAGTGTGCCGAGGATTCCAAACGTCCCTTTTCCTTAATTTTGTCGACCATGAAAAAGCTCCTGTCAGCGTCGAAACGAATGCGGTCCTGTCAGAACTGGTCGTCCAAGGAGTGGGAGTCCTTACATAAGGACACTAGCTGACTGCAGTAGTCGCTGCAGTGCGACAATGAAGATGTTGCAACGGCCTCTCCCCATTCCCATAGGGAAGGGTGTGAGACAGGGCAGCACTATCTCGCCGAAGGTGTTCACAGCAGTGGGTTATGATGCCGCTAGACTGGAACGAAAAGGGCATTCGTGCGGATGAACGGCTCCCCTCAAATCTCCGCTTTGCGGACGACATCGTTCTCTTTTCAAGCAGCATTGCGGAAGTTGAGACTATGCTTGCTGAGTTTAATAAAGCAGGAAAGAAGGTAGGGCTGCGGAACAATCAAACAAAGATATAGTCCATGAGGAATGCTTGTGCTGACGCGAGTCAGATTAAGATCGATAGTACACCTATCAAGGAAACCTCGTCCTACGTTTATCTCGGACGTTCCATAAATATAGACAACGACTGGGGGAAGAACTGATTAGACGGCGAAAAGCAGCGTAGGCAGCCTTCGGAACCCTGAAAGAGGTCACCACTCATCTGACTGATCCGGAACTTCGCGCTAATTTGTTTGATTTCACAATTCTTCCTGCGGTGTTTCGGGTCGGAGACTTGGGTGACCAGTGTGCCCATGTCAAGGGCCTTGAGCATAAGTCACAGAGCGCTCGAGCAATGTCTTTCGAGGATCAGCCGGCTCACTCAATATTAAGAAGGACTCTGTAGCACCGACATGCGCAGAATGTCTCGACTCCGCGATAAGGAGGAATACATGAAGAACGCAAAATTTCAAGGGCCGATCATATAATGAGAAGACATGACAGGTGGACAAGAAGAACAGTCGAGTGGGCTAAAGTAAAATCTTCACAATCTAAGGGTACGCCTACTACAAGAGGGGGATGTGCTTGGCGATCACATGAAACAGCTGCGAGAGCAGCTGAACGACTCCTCTTTGTCGATTCTGAGTCTACCGTGGATGGCGTTTGCGCAAGACAGAAGCGAATGGTTTGTTTCCGGTACTCGCACATGAGCGAAGACGAGCCGTATAAGTATAAGTATAAATAAGTAACCTTTCCCTAGTCTCGGCATGAAGGCCCCCACTTACCTGTCTAGATGTTATTTTGAGACAAATCAACCTGCACAGAACGAAAAGAGCTTTCAAGTCGAAGATGACTCACATAGTATATTATGCTTTTGACACCTACTCCGTCGGGGTTGCCAATGAGTTTCCACTGCCGAATGAAGACGGAGGGGCTCCATTTCCGCCATATCATGATCATAAACTCATCGAGTTGAGGATAAGGAGAACGTCCCGTGCCGTTCTCCGATGATAATAGGGGCATAGCTGTAAGCAATCAAGAGTATATCTGTATGCACAAAACATTGATCCAAATGAGTCGCACAGATCTCACCGCTCTCTTTGGTGAAGATCGGCGTGCACTGACCATCTTCAGAGATCTCCAATACAGAACTTTTATGAGCGTTAGCAGGAATACACAGGGAGTCGTGAAATATCTGCTGATCTGACGGCTTTTTGGCACCTAGTATACACTGATAAGCGGCATAAAGATTTTGAAAATGCATTGGCTGCTTTCATATTCCGCCGGCCGGGGGACTACTTAGCCTGCGATATCGAGCAAGATTCACCTTATAAACAAGCGACAAAGGCCGCCCGGTCGGCGCGCACTCGCGGTTTGGCGTGCGAACCATGAAAGCAGCCACTCAAACTATACAGCATGGACAGTCTCCCTTGAGGTAGTGCAGCAGAACTAGGTCCACCCTGAGTTCAGCGTACCGCAGCGTGCCCACTAACATTCACTTTGCAACTTTCCAGAGCATGGAGGTAGAGTCCAGAAAGCGGGAACCATGCGCTAGCCCGGATTCGTAGCGGCAATCAGTGAGCAAGCTTCTGGCGGCATATACTTCCTAACAGGTAAGAAATCATATACAAAATACGTCAGCCACCGCTGTCATGGACCGATCACAGCGCTATAAGCGCAGGCTGCACACGCATTACTGACTGTATAGCTCGGAATAAGACTCGCTGTCAGCATCAAATCAATTCCCTATATCGGTTTGAATAAGGCCCGCTCAGACATCTTACAGGGGAAGGATACTAGGTCGTAGTGGCCATCTAAGATGAGATGTATACCGCCGTATGTGTTTTCAAGCGGGTATCTCAAATCCACTTCCCCAAATCTGCTAAACGATCCTGGGAACAGAGTTATCGAACCATTTCCTGTGTTATACGCACCGTGTTGGCTATATAAGCGAACCTAGAACGTAACCAACCGTGCAGCGATGGAGTAATGGGTACGACGGTGGACTCTCAGGATGTTCATAGAGGTTCGAATCGTTGATGCGTGTGCTCTTTTTCTTTATGAAAACCATCTCCCAAACGCTTGCAAAATGCTTCCATGCTTCATATCCACCATCTACAGGCTCTCCTCACACTTGAGGACTCATCTGACTGGAACAAATCTTGTAAAGGGTAATACAATGAGAGTTCTCTCTTACCCCCATTCACCGAATTGAGGCGCAGTGCTACCCCAAACACTCGATGGGGTTGCAAAATTTATGGCAGTTCCATGCACACTCGACAGAGGGGATGGGAAGGGGTCGGATGACTCATCTGACTGGAACAATTCTTGTTAGGACAATGCCCTCTCCTTGACCAGAAATGAACCAGTGCGTCATTATTGACGTTTTTACAAAGAAAAAAGAAAAGGGCTATCGAAACAAAAAGTGAACAATTTATATACACGTACGATAGTCCAATACAAAGTGTTTGAAGCAGAAAAGTTTTTCACAAAGGGAGCAACGTACAAAATTAATCACACCCATTACTCTCACAATTCCGGCTAGATGAGGGAGAAACAATATTGTAGATCGGTCTCTAACGGATTCGTATCCAGATAGCCTGCTGCAAACCATGAATAAGAGAGAAAATTTTTTATCTAGGTGCGCTGAACAAGAACTACACTAATGAGACAAGACGGATTACGGAGTCGCGGTTGTTAACACGGAAATGAAACATAGAAATTAAGATCACGAGCGATAACATAGGATATGATACGTTCAAACTTGGTTAAAATGACAAGAAAATATGCATCAAGAGCTTGAATTTGTGATTTTGCGACAGGCGGGATGTTGAGCACTTACACAGCCTTGCCAGCCGGGAATGCACCCTGAATTGCATCATGATCCTTGAATCGACAATCAGAAGAGACCACGGCAGATCCGTTGATCCAACGCAGATCCTGACCCAAGCCAGCTCCTTGCTCATCATGTGGAATGTACTCGCCCTGACCTCCAAGTTTGGAGCGCGAAAGCAACCTTTGGCCGGAAATCGCCCTTTGGGTTCCTGTTAGAACAGACAACGATGACGGACTTTACATATAGTTTTTTGAGAGCATTGACCTGCATCACCACATGAAGTTTCGTTGCTATGTGGCTATCAGCAAAGAGGGTGGGACGATACTGAAACCCACTGCGCCACCCTTTCGACTTCCTTTTGGCGCTTCAGAGCAAGGGTGCTCGCCAAATGCAACTCTTCACAAAACCGCTTCAGTGTGCGTTGCATATTGTATCCAAGGGCCGATTCTCCATTACTGAGCAATTTAAAGACGCATTAATGGGGTCGTCGGCTGTCACACCGACTGCATGATATACAAAATCTGAATCATGTCAGCAACCTTCCTTACTTCGAGTACAAATGATTTAGCCCTACGAGATGTGCGGTCTTTGTCGAGAACCCCTTTCTTAAGGTAAACGTGGTGGTGCGTCGGGGTACGATACCACAGCTCGACTTAAAGCTTTGAATCCCTTATGGCTTGCTTTGTAATCCACTGTGGAGCCTTCATTGTTGATCTTCAGCGCATGAAGCGAATATGACTGACGAGCAAAGAAATCCCCTTATTCGTCTTCCTTTGCCATGACTTCCTATTTCAATTTCTCGACTAATCTCGAAAGCCTGATAGATCGATCCTCTCGCTTTGCACCTAATAGTTACAGCCGTATAGGTAGTCGTAAATGGTCAAAAATACTCTAATAAGAAGGTTCACAACCTCTTTCAAGTTCTCTCAACTTCCGCAAGTGGTATTCTGCCGTGATGAAGCGAAACCTGCCTTCCATGCACGGAAGTGATCGGCTTTTTTAGTACACGACAGATAAAATGACCTATGACCTCTTCTAACTGCATCATTGATTAAAGATCATGGGTCAAAATACTGAGTCGAGAAACAATTTTTGTTCGAAACCTCCACATCTCATCTCCAAAAAGGTACGAGGATGCCTTTCCGGATGTGCTGGGTCGTTCGTCTGCCTCACTACCATCTCGTGATCAGAGAGGGTCACTGTGGTCGTGTTCCACGTTCTTTCTTTCGTACTCTTCACAGTCGATAACGAGCTTCTCGTATAGGGCATTCCGTAGAATAGACAAAAGCTATCTATTACAATTCGTTTCTTCCTAGGTGGTGCTCGCACTTCGTCACAGGGACCAAATTCCTCTAACAAAATCTAGCCGGTGATATGTGGAAGAGGGCTTCGGTACAATCGACCAAGTGACAGCCTTCTGTCGAAAACATCACAGCTTACACAAGATTACGCAAGGCCAAGCAATGCTTTCGCAATTCCTCTCCCCTGGTCTTCAAATTGCACCCACGTTCAACAACCAAAAAAGGGCAGAAACAAAATCCTCTTGATGCCTTCCGCTATTCCTCAAATGTGAGGGAAGCCTGTCGATGGTGGATATGAAGCGTAGACGCATTCTGAAAGCATTCGATAGATGTTTTTTCAAAACGCAGAGAGAGCACACGCATCAAGAACTCGAACCTCCATGACCATCCTGAGAGTCCACCGTCGTACCAACTGCTCCATCGCTGCACTTATGGTTATGTTCTCGGTTCGCTCACATAGCCAACACAGTGCGTATAACATAGGAAAGAAAAGGACCCCATGACTCTGTTCTCAGAATTTAGCAGATTTGTGGAGTGGATTTAAGATATCCGCTTGGAAACACATACGGCAGTATACATCTCATCTTTAATGGCCACTAGGACCTAGTATCCTTCTCTTGTTAAGCCTAAGCATTATGGTCCTACATATTTGTTTGAGCTGGTTCATAGCATCCTGTCTTATGCATACCGTAGAAAGAACAGTACGTAGCAAGTTTCAACACAGCGTTCTTCCCTAGCTTTGAGGATAAAAACAGCCGGAAGTTTCTATTCTTGCTATAAACGGCGCTGTCAAATAGAACAGTTTCCTGAAATCATGGTATTGAGAGCGAAAAAATCTGGAAAAATTCGTCAGCGAACCTTCGTAGCATCGGTATTCCAAATTTTCACTGGTGGATCCTCAAGTAATTGACCAGCAAGGCGAGCACAAAACGGACGCATCGACGTCTGAAAGCCAGTAAGTCTTTGAGGGCAACCATTGAGAGGGCCTTCTCGGGTTTCAAAACAGGAAAAGCATAAATATACGTGACATACGTTCGACGGGAACAGTACTCCTCCAGGAAGATGGCAGATAACGTGGGCGGAGAACTTGCTCTCGGTGGAACTGTCAAGAACGAGAAAATCCTTAATAATAATTCCGTTATTATTGAGATTTTATTACTAAATATTATGTAAGCATGGAAATTCCCTTTTATATATAAAACACTATGAGAGTCCGTCTGTTTGTCGGCCCGGAAATTTAGAAGTCTCGCTCCCTTGGACCTAGAATATTCAAAAGGTATGCAGTCAAGAAGAGCCAGAATAGGTGCACCCGCATACCACCTCTAAGAACGTCGAGGACGAGAAGTAGGTTCATTTATAATTTAAGGCCTTATATAAGGTCACTGTTCTGTCGCAGCGGTAAATCTGCACTCAAGTCTGCACCGCTGATCTATTAAAATTGCTATCATCGATGTTGATATGAAGACACTGAGTCCCACACAATTTGGTCCTCACTAATTTACTAAAAACTTCACGGCGGAAGGAAAACTAAAAATAAGTGAGGGTTTACTGCCCAAGATGTCATATCGAAGGGTTTTTTTTAACCAAAATGTCCATAATGTAATAGTTTTTCTTAGTGAGAGGAAGCCGTAAGACTGGCTCCTTTTTTCAGTGGCTGGACATTATCACTTGACCTCTAATAAAATTGGCTCACAGTCTAGCTGTCCCGCAACAAAAAAATGTATAATACTCGATCATAGCTCTAAACATTCTGAACTTTTAATGCGGGTATTCACCATTTACTCTTTCGCTAGGCTCAATCGACTACAACTTCAACGATCGAGCTGTTGAGCTTATTATGCATGTTCGATTTTGACTACCTAGGTTTCAGCATGCCCCTCCCAAAACGAGCATTAAAAACTGTCTTTTTTTGCTAATCTCCAACGACCAATCAAGGGGTTCACAGATAACGAATTGTTATTGCAAATTTCCAGCTCATGCTCGGTTGCTCCGCCTACCACAAACCGGAACTGTTCTACTTCCCCCAGTCCACATCAAGTTTTCTTATTTCAGTTCATGTCCTTCTTTTTCTTGAGCTGCTCAATGTTTTTGAACAGATCCACGACTTTTTTACCTAAAGTTGAGCTTTTTTCACCTTGGGGCACGCTCTGTCTACCACTATCATTTTACTTCCTACCAATCCTCGTAGTCTCTACACTCATTTCCTGGACCCTAAGATGCCCTTCAACATCGTTTATCTCAGCTCTATCCACCTTGGCACACGCTCCTTCTACCATGATCTTTCAAATTTTCTCTTTCCCTTCAACCTCTACTCGCCCTTTTTGAGCTTGAGAGTTCTCTGCTAGTCTCTATCCGTTTTTCAAGCTTCAGAACATTTTCAGATACACAGCTGTGAACCTTTAATCTTTGGTCCGTCCACTTCAGCAAGCATTCCGCCTACCACTACCTAGTTTTGACTTGACCTTTTGTTAGCTGCTGCAATTTCGCCGCAGTGCGCGATAAAAAAGTCTTAAAGTTTTGCGAGTTATTTGATACCTGTTTTTTTACTGATGTCATTTCATTTTTCGAGTTCGAAGCGTTTTCTTAAAAGTTATGAGCTCTGGACTTGCTTTCCAATGAAGAGCACATTCCGCTCAGTTGGCACGTACTCAGCACGTTTTAGACCTTGCTCATCTCTAAGGTTTCGCTGACATTTAGGGTCTGCTGGAAATGAATCATTCTGACCCAGCTGCTTTTGAATCGGACAATGCTTATTTCGTGCATATTTCTGAATGTTAGAAAGGAATGTGTGGAGGATTATCCCAACAATTTCATAACTTGAGTATAGGAGCAGACAAAAGTGTTTCCTTATGAAGGAATAGTGAATGGCTTTGGCAAATGATAATAAAATTACTATTTAAAAAAGGAACCTTATAAGGATCAACTTCAAGACCAAATTCCTTTTTCAATAAGTCCTGCACAGTTGTCATGAAGAACCGGTATGCAACCTGAAACAGACATGTTCTTAGATTGAGCGTACTACTTATTTTGCAAAATTATTTAGCTCCAGTGCAGCAGTGGGATAGTCTCAAATGGCGCATCATGGTACGCCTGAGCTAAAGATCACAGTCGACCGGACTGATATCAGCCCAAGCCAACGGAGCCTTCCATCCCTCTGCGATTCGGGTAATTGGTACCAGATTTGCCTGTAGAAGATAAGCACTTACTTGTATATCGGTGACCATCGCAGTTCATTGTATAGGCTCCATACTTATGTTAAACGCTGATTCCATTAAATTGCGGGGGGAGAGGGTTTTCGAAAACGGGTCCATCAACAACGAAATCCATACTTTACACATTATTTAGATCCACTCAGTGCCAGTTGAGTTGGGTAGAAAACGCCTTTGAAAATATGTGCACCGTATAATGGTGAACGTTTCGTTAGCTCAGAGAATCTGTTCCTCTGTCCATGCGTGTATGTAAGTGTGATATGTGTGGATCAGTGTGCGTTTCAGCGGAAATTCATCCCTATTTTCCTGAACCAAAAGCATTCGAGTTATAGAGGGATGCAGTGTGTGAGCATAGTACTAGAAGAATGGAAGTGAAAACAACTAGTGGAAGATTGCAAAGAGACTCAGAAAGCAGGGATCACTGGAACAGTTGAGCCGTTCGCATATAAATGGTCAGCTCGTTTGATGTGTGATGTAAGGCAGCAAACTGTCGATGAGGGGGATTAACAACAACTACAGAGTAATGCAAAGTAATCCCTGGGAAAGGGAAACTTTGGTTTTTGTGAGAAAATCGATTCAAGATCAACATTGAACTGCCCTGCGGTGGATATTTTTTTGATTGGGCTTTTTAGCGTTGTGATTCCACTTCTGTTCAATCTTTTCGGTGTACAAATTTGAGTTTTTTTTTCAAGTCGATTGCTTCGTGGTTTTCAATCAGTAGTATTTCATGAAGTAGTATTTCATTCATAGAGTTGCCCTTCGCGGCGTTGATGCTGACTTACTGTGAAAGCGCCCATTGACACTTCGCTGGCTGCCACCGAAGGTTTGTAAAATATTGCTGAAGCCGCACAATGGGGCTTTCTTGAGAAGTAAGAGACTCTTACCTCGTGGTCAATTCCAGGATTAGTTTCTCTGCAATACTCGAGATCAAAATAAAGGCGACAGGGCATCGAGTCGACAATGAGCTCATAAACGTGACGTTCGCTCAGCGAAATGTACCACATCCAGAAACGCTCCAGCGTGCTCACCACATAACGTCGCTCGCCACCTGAAGGCTTGTTCTAGCTTTCCTGTTCCAGGAGGTCTTCTTAGAAAGGAACTATCGGAAACGAATCGTTTCGCAATTCAATCAAGCTAATCAATAGAAGTTCAAACAAAAGAAACCTGCATGTCCAGGCATTTCGAAGCTAAATAGCCGTGTATTCTTGAAAACTTTAGCATGTTCCTCGAACTTTGCAAGGGCTAGACGTTGTTTAGGGAAGGTCTCCAATTCTCCAAAACTCTTCTCCACTAAGGATGCTCGTTTACATCGGATCTGAATTCACTACGTGACATCTAAGAAAAGGCGTTATTGGAGGACTAGTGAACATCAACTGAGATAATAAACAAGTTCAGCACAAAGTCAAAACCGTCGAGATCATGAGTCCACATATTTTTGATGGACGTAGTCGAAGCTGCTACGTGAGTCGTTACTATACAATTTGTAAATGTTCATTAGACGCAATATCCAAGTTCGGCTCTTAGAGAATTATCCTTTTAGTAGTGAGTTTAACACTTCTAGTTGTGCTGTCGAAGGTGGTGTAGTGGCAAGTGGGGCACTATCACACACGCATGGCAAGGGGTTCAAAACCCGGATCTACCCTCCCATTCCTCCGGGACCGATAATTGGTACTAGACTCGTCTGGGGTAGCAAAATCACTGACTTGTTCATCGACTGGCCATCGCAAGTCATTGTATAGGCCACACACGCATTCAAAACGCCATTACGATTCGAATGGAACGGGCGAATCCTTCAGATGGATAGATTAACGCCCAAAGACTTTATCCTTTAGACTTTATCTGACATTCTATCTATTATTAATATTTATCATTTTCGACTACACTTTATTCGGCCGTCGTCTCGGTGTTTCGCCTTCTTAGGAACCTGGAAAGACGGTAACCATCCAAATACTGTTCGATCAAGCACTGTCCCAACTACAGAAGGAATTTGATGGTTCGTGAGCATTACAGAGTCGGTAGTTTTTGAGCAACTCCTAGCATGGTTGACCTGTGGGGCCTCCGATAAGAAATAAACCTCAGACCAACATGGCTACTTGGCTTTAGGAGCCTCCCGAGATGATCATGTACAATTAAGCGACCATTTTCGTTTGGGGGGATCACACCATAACAATAAACTAATAGTCTAGTGCCAATAGTACAAAATGGGTCTACTCTCCAAAACAGGCTGCTCAATTCATGACACGATTAGTATCAGTCCTGGAGCAAGCCTTTGCCCCATCTCCATTCCTCCAACCCGCTAGTAGTACAACTTTTTATTGTTAGAGCAAGTCAGGTTCCCTATCGCGGTTTTGCGATATCGAACGCAGTATAGCAAGCAAAAGTCCCAAAAGAATCGAAAGTTTGGATCTACCTCATGATAAGGCTCCTGTGAATAGAGTGATAAAGTTGAGCCGGTGCAGAGCCTTACTCTTTCGTAACTCGTGAGATGTCTCCTGTTTTGCCCTATACCGCAAACGATCATGCAATACCTACAACTTTGGCTGCCCTGAAACCGAAACAGGTTGCCCTGACTAGCTAGAAAGATATTGCCAAGCGCCGTGACCCCATTATCTCCACATTCACCAGCTGTATCAACTTGTGTGCGTAATCCGACTTCGCTCTTCGTCTACTTAACCGTTGAACTTTTCCTGTACTGTTACTACAGTCCTAGAACAAAAGGAAGCACAAACGACTTTTAACTCACCCACTAACCTCCAAAGTCGGTTCAGCTGCAATCTTCCCCATTACAACTCTCTAGGAACACAATCCATCAACAGTTGCTTCTTACAGCTGTACGTAGAATATGAAGTATTACTGATGATTGTGCTTCTTGCTCGCTACGGTGAGGTAGACATGTCAATCCCTTTAGTCGGGTTTCCAAAAAAAGTCAGGGTTGCTCAACAAGTGGCTCAGTTTACATGAGCGGCATGATAATAGTCCCTAGTAATCCCTTTTACAAGGTATCTCTCAAATACGAGAGCTGACCACGCCCACGTTTGCTCAAACGCTGACCACGCCCACGTTTGCTTTTGAGGCCAATCTGAGCGGTTGAAAAATGCTGCTCACAATCTAAGAGTTGAAATGATTTGTTAGTGAAATGCATCGTCACTGATTATACATCGCATTTCATAGATGCGGGTATACCCCAGATATCCTACTTTATATAATTCGCTAAGTGTACCTGTTTGTGTGTCGGTGTGTGTGTTTGACCGGAAATTCATAACTACTGTTCCCGTGGACCTAGAAAGCTCAAATTTGGTAGGAGTACAGAGGGCAGCATGTGAACACCTGTGGCAGGTGGTAGGACCAGACTCCGCCCACAGGGGCGGGGCGTGCGCGATAGAAATTTTAGGTCGCAAATTCAGAACTCCTGTTCCCTTGGACCTAGAAAGGTCCAATTTGGCAGGAGTACAGGGGGCAGCATGGGAACGCTAAGGGCAGGTAGCGGGACCGGACTCCATCCACAGGGGGCGGGGCGTGCGCGATAGAAATTTTGGGTCGCAAATTCTTAACTCCTGTTTCAGTGGACCCAAAGCGCTCAAATTTGGCAGAAGTACAGGGGGCAGCATGGGAACACTTACGGCAAATGGTAGGACCGGACTCCGCCTACAGGGGGCGGGGCGTGCGCGATAGAAATATTAGGTCGCAAATTCATAACTCCTGTTCCCGTGGACCTGGGAAGGTTGAATTTGGCAGAAGTACAGGGGGCCGCATGGAAACACTTATGGCAGGTAGCCAGATCGAACTCCGCCCCCAGGGGGCGGGGCGTGCGCAATAGAAGTTTTAGGCTGCAAGTTCACAGCTCCTGTTCACGTGATCCCATCGCGTTGAAATTTGGTAGTACAGGAAGCAGGATAGGACTGGACACTGATGGTAGGTGATAAGCGGTAATAATAATTTAAAGGAGTTGATAAAGAGCCTTGAAGGGCGAGAACCACAGGAACCGTTACTTACTTTCTGTTAACAGCAGCGCTTTGGCATTTCGGGAAACTGTTAGAGACTGATAGAAACTGATAGGAGGCGAGAGCCAATAAGTCTACAACGTCTTTCATACTAACAAGTGAGCATTCCAGTAGGTAGTGCAGGATGTGAAGGGACCGAAGTTAAGTAAGAAGTTGTAGTTACAGATAATGTAGCGGACCCGCCCCTGCGTTCACCCCGGAAATCAACGAGGTCTTCCTCGGAATCCGGCGGATGTCAGACTTCACTTAAGGCCTGACAACTGAAGGGGTGGTTGGTCCTGGTTTTCTTTGCTTGTAAGAACAGTAGGATATGAGGAATCTTTATTAGCAATAGTAGAAGGAGAATGCGAATTCCACACCAGAGCGGGTGGAGGTAAGATCCAGGTA